ATGAGGACAGGCTGAGAGAGTTGGGCTTGTTCAGCCTGGAGAAGAGAAGGCTGCGGAGAGACCTGACTGCAGCCTTTCAGTACTGAAAGGGAGCCTATAGGAAAGATGGGGACAATCTTTTTAGTAGAGACAGCAGTGACAGGACGAGGGGTAACGGTTTTAAACTAAAACAGGGTAGGTTTAGGCTGGATATAAGGAAGAAATTCTTTACAATGAGGGTGGTGAAACACTGGAAGGGGTTGCCCAGAGAGGTAGTGGAGGCCCCATCCCTGGAAACATTCAAGATCAGGCTGGACAGGGCTCTGAGCAACCTGATCTAGTTAGCGGTGTCCCTGCTTGCTGCGGGGGGGTTGGACTAGATGACCTCTAGGGGTCCCTTCCGACCCAAAACTTTCTATGATTCTACTGGAGTACATTAAAAGGCAACAGCCAGAAGACACCTTGTAGATGTAGGACAATGGACACTAGACAGTGTAAAAGTGCCTGGGAAAGTACTGACACTGTTGAGCGTAGAGATGTAGAAGCATCATAGGCATTAAATCAGGGAGATGTGTGAAGGGTATCTGGACACACAAGGCACATCCTAACAAGAAAACTGGAAGATTAAGGTGCATTTGTTTCTCTGGACAGACAAAGGCTAACAAAAGGTTTGCTGGCAAAACCGGCTGCACCACAATTATGAGTGACCCGAAGCATCAAATGGAGTCATTCCTGCATTCTGCCAGACTAACATAATCTCAGCAGGTTAAAAGGAAACAATAAGGATGCCACCAACTGGAATTGTCATGAAAACCCTATCACAGCTGTCATCTCTTTGGGTAAATAAAACCCATCCAAAGTGGGCTCTACTTCTGCAAAGTCAGGTCTACAGGAAGGCTACGTGCTATAATTTAATTTCAGAATCAGAGCCTAATCTAAGAAGATGTGAGTTTGACTACTGCTATTGAATTTGAGCCCTTGTCGGGTATTCTCCCCATGAAAACATTTCACTTGTGTCACTTCTAAAACCTTCTTAAATTGTAGTAAACTATTTCTGCAACTTCCACTTCTGTTTTCTGAGTGCTATATAAAAATTAAATAATCTCTTCAGTAGCAGAGATTACAGAATGTCTTTTAGATGCCTGCCTGCCTACCAATATGTAGTTCCCAAGACTTTATTTTCAAATTTACCTGTTTAGAGAATGCAGATACAGTTTCTCTGTTTCAGACAGCCTCTATTTATTGGTGAACAAGCAACACATGCTCTTGTAGCGGCTTGCTACCAGCCCCTCAACTGTGCCCTCCATCAACAGGTGCAAAAATATTATTCTCTTTCTTGAGACACAGGAAGAAACCAGTCCTTAAAGCCCATTATCTGCTCTCCCATCACCCCACTGTACCAAATATTTCCACCAACTATTCATCCAGCAAACTAACCCAGTCACAAAACACTTTCAGGCTCAAGGATTACACAGTGCGATGCATGAATTAATAGCCCTGTTACTTTGATAGTTCCAAAAATAAACTAGTGTTGAGAATAACTTCTATGAAAAAGAAAAATTAAAACTTCTGCCAAAGCATCAAACATCTGTAATTTTGACCGTAACCATGGTATCCTACTTTAACGCTTTTTAAATTGAGGTTTTGGGGTGTTTATTTTAAATTGTTACTAAGCATTCTATGAATAATAAAGTCTGTAAAAAACCCAATGCTATAAGACTGGGATTTGTCCAAGACCATTTTACCTATCCATATACTACTGTTGTGTTTTATACGCAAGATTTTGATTTTATATTCTTACTTAGTAATTTTCATGTTACTTTGCTAATCTTTCTGATTCAACCTAGTCACTGTCATCTAGTCCTAATGCAATACTAGTTAGCACAAAGAGCATGTGGCTAACAACAATTTAAACACAGTTCATTCACTTTGTTCTACGCAAAGACTTAACAGCACCAAATTACGACAAATTCAGTAACTGGGAAACACCACTCACTGCAGTAATTATCAGAATCATAAAGGATGCTTTATCACTGTACTGCAAGTCTTGGATCATCCTGTTTCCTATGTTTCTGTCTAGCTCTGTTTGGTCTATGATGTGGAAAATGTGATAAAGCACCATAATAAACATGTATGGAGAGGGAAAAAAGGTAATTGTTTCAGTCTATCTTTCACAATTCTATACAAACAATAATACTATGTATGTTAAACAGAACTTCAATGGATGGATAACTGAAATTCTGACAAACCTGTTCCAAATTTGCTGAAGGGATGACTGGGATTTCCAGTAGCCTTCTCCAATTGAAACAACCTCCAAGCATCATTCATCAGATTCTTCTCATGCTCAGAATCAACAGCATTCACTTCCCTGTCTTTGCAGCTTTCATCAAACAAAGGGCACAGGAAAAACTGGGCAAATCTAAAAAGAAAAATGTTAATTCAAGTCACGAGTACTGTGCATAAATGGTAACAGAAAAGTATGAAGTTTGGTACCTCCTGAAAACAGCTGAATATTTTTCAATGCAAAACTTATAAACTCTGTAACAGTTTTGACACTGTTTCACTATCTTTGTTTCTCAACTTCTTTATCTAGAAATGCAGACAACACATTCACCATATAAGGTACCACAAGGATCAAGGACCTTGTATCATAATTCATACACCGAAAAACTCTACTGTTTTGAAGTTTAGCTGCAAGAGGCTCTTAATCTCGCAGATCAAATTCTCAGACATCCAGGAAAACGTCAAAGGGAAAATCCACTCTTTACCTCACTGACTACACACCTTTCGATTCCTGTTCCCTCCCACAAACGGCAGAGCTTTCAGTGAATTTCCTTTACTAAAGGCATTGTAATATATTTCTAGACTTCATCCTTCTTTTTGCTATCAATGAAATAAGGATCCTATGAGAAGCATAGTATTTGCTTATACAATCAGAGTATTTGCACAATGCGGAAGTTCATGATCATATTCTGTGCATCACAATTTCACAAATATTCAGTGTAAACACAACCTTTGAACTTCAAAAACTCTACCTCAGTGAAGAACTTCGCCAGCTGAAAAAATATGAGCTAAACTTTTGAACTGAAAAATACCTGGTATCAGTTTTAACAAAAGATAGCACTCTCAACCCTTTCTTCAATATCATAATCATAAAACTATCAAAAAACTTCTACACAATTTCAAATAGCATATAAAAAGTGTATTTACCTGTCTAGTGCACCTTCTAGATGTTCATGTGACACATCAAAGTAATAGTTGGTATGTTCTCCACTTGTGAAAGCATTTGAGCTCCCAGCATGCTCACTAAGAAATTGGCTATACTCATTCTCTTTTGGATATTTCTTGGTTCCCAGGAACAGCATATGCTCGCAAAAATGACTAAGCCCAGCAATGTTGGGGGGATCAGACAAGGATCCTGCAGGAGGAAAAACTTCATGTAACCATTCATAAAAAGTAATACTAAAATGTTAAGTCTTTTAAAGTGCTTTATATTACAGTATGTTGCCCTACACAATTATTTCAATTCTGTAGATATAAGCAGACACTTGTGCAGCTACAGCCAACCTTAAAAAAAAAAAAAAAAAATTTAATGAGTAACTGAACCAATTAGTGTCTCAAATTGCCTCTCCAGATCAGCCTGCATTGCCTTATAGAGACAATTTTTCAATTGAAGTCCATGACTCATCATCTGTAAAGACCTGGCAGATCACAATGTCCTGACTTCCATACCTTGACTTTAATAACTGCACTGTGCTAAAAGGCAGTAATTGCCAACCACAATTAAGGAGGTATTTATCCTGTGGTTTACAGGACGAATGATAACCTGTAATTGCCTGAACACAAGCAACTATTGATGCCTAGCTAGTAGGTGTGAAGGCAGACAGATTAGAAGACAATAATGATGTGCAAGAATAGAAGCCAGAAACATGGAATTGTAAGTCTGGCAGCCCTGTTTTGGAGTGTGCAATGACATGCAATGGGAGAGAAGAGAGGAATGCAAGAGATACATCTCCTCTGGCACACGTGCAAGAACTGGATGCTGCAGTTGGCTACTACTGTCACACTACCTAAAAAAACCACATCTGGGATCGTCTGAACTAGAAAATGATTTGTGACAGCCATCTCCATAATAATACAGGCCACAAGTTTTCAAAGCTGCTCTACTACTTCTGTCCTAATGCCAACAGCAGCAAGAGTTCCCAACTACAAACATGGCCAGACGATGCTTAAGTAATGCGTGCGTGCATCACACCTTCCAAGCTAATGAGAAACTACACAATCTTGAGAAGTACCTCAGATGTAAGAAAAGGCTGCCATCATTCCAAAGAGTCAAAGCAATTGCCTTCCCCTTCTATTTCCAGTATTTCTGTTTGCACACTTAAGCATCACTGGAGTTAGGGAGTGCCGTTCCAACCCCTCTGGCACTACAGCATTTTCTCACCTCTACACATCAATAACTTTAAAAAAAAAGTCTCATATAACAGATGGAGCTGTCTGAAATGACTGTACTCACACCCACCCCTTTTCTGCTTACAAAAGATCTTTCATAACACAAAACTTAATGGTTAAAAAGTCTTTCTACTGACTGAGCAACACTTAAGTAAACAGAGTACTATACGTGAATTTAATTAGCTCTAATAATTTTCAGTTTGAGGTGTCAGAGAATTAAAAAAACTCTAAACTACAATAAAAGGCTAGGCTGCCAACTGGATACCACTCCTGTCAGTTTATTTGCAATTAAGATACCAAAACTTAAAGCATTTTTATTAATGACACAATGAACACAACATGCATGAAATACCTATGTGCACATCAAGTGCTGCTGAAGACTTATCTGTGGTGGGGTCACTAATGAGAAGAGCTTTAATGCCATTTGCCAGTTCCAGACCACGATACTCTCGTTTATCCTCAGGTGATTTAATAATTTCATTTGTTATTCTCTTAATAGCTGGATTGTTCATTTTGTTGTCTATTGCTTGCTGAAACCTTAAAGAAAACAGAAAAAATTCCACTTACTATTTTTACTTTAGCCCAGCTAATATTTTAATATTATGTTAGAAAATACTGGGTGATACTGACAGCAAGAATTCTGCACAAAACTCATAGAACTGGCCTAAAAGTACAGTTCAGATCCTGAGAGATATTGCTGTTAAAACAAAAAAAACCCCAGAAGACCAAGCAACATGATAAAACTGTAGATCACGTAACTAAATGTGTCAAGTTTCATACTAAAGGTAATTAAAAAAATAACTTAGTAAAAAAATACGATCCCCTTATTCAATTATTATAAAAATGAAATTAAATGAAGCCTACATTGCTATCTCAAGTATACTTTCAGGCTTCAGTGAAGTATTTCATGTGTCTGAATTGGTGGTTATATCACGAATGTTATGACTTTGTGATTGTCAGATAAACAACATTTTACTAATAAACATCCGGATTCGCACACTCAGGCAAGAAAGGGTGACACTATTTACACAATTTACAATATTGCCATAAAAATACAAACACACTGCAGAATTACAATGATAAGCAGGAATAGTTTCACATGTTTAAACTTCTACTATTAGTTTAACAGACATACTATGAGACATGCTTCTTTAATGGCACAATTCTGAAATGCTAAGAAACTAAATGTGATTCTGAAATAATAAACTCTGGTTATTCTTTTTTTTTTTAAGTGCCAAGTGAAAAGGTGTGACATTCAGACTTGGATATTTGGGAAGGCAGAGTGAAACTGCCTGGCGGCAAGTTAAATAAAAAAAAAACAAACCCAAACAAAATACACCAACACAAAAAAACCTCCGAACAAACACCATACACAAAAAACCCACACACCCTAGAAACAGGAAATCAGAGATCTATGGTGTATTCCTGTAACAGCCATGGAATTCTACCTCTGTTTTACAGGAAGGGTTTTTGAACCGGGCTTGTTATAAATGTATAGTACCAAACAAATTCAACTTTTTGCTGTGGTGAAATGTTGCTTGCCATATTGCCAAGTAACTTACTACACGAACTTCATTAGTTGTTGTTGAACTAACATCACTTACAAAGAAAATCAGATCCAAGTCAACTCCCCACCACAACACATACACAGTGGCATCAGAAAATTTGTATGGTCCTGCCAGTATCACACAGATAACAATGCATTTCACCAGTATTTACTTTTCCATTTTGAAGTTGTACAGTTCAAGAAACTTCATCCAAATTTTAGGAGTACATATAAGCCATAAGACCGTATGGGATGTGGCACATGAAGAACTGCACAATCTTCAACACACTGCTTCAGGTCTTCAGTCATGACATTTTAACTGACTCTCTAGATAGCAAATCAACTGCATACTCCATGTTACTGGATACACAACAGAAAACTTCAGAAAAGAAAATCTGATTATATATTTTATTTACAGTTTAAAATTACAAATGAAAAAGTGAGTCAACTAATAAAACCTCCTTCCTAAAACACTGTATCATTCTCAAAACAGGAAGCAGTTCTGCAAGCTACTGTCCCTCTGGATTATCTCCTTCCCATTTACTCCTGTGATTCTATGATTCTAAGGTATAAAAACAATGGCCAACTTGAAGCCAGCAGATGCGCAGTCATCAATGTTGGTGTTTTATATTATAATGAAGCTGATAAAGAGCTCATTATTAACGGCATGTTAAGGATAGAAAGTTTATGAACATAATGTCTACTGCAGAATCAGTGAAAAACAATGTTCCACGAACAGAAAATTAAGATTTTACCTGTAGCAGAGTGAAGGTTTGTGTAAGACTGGACTTATGCTTGAGGAAGGAGATACGTATGTAAACTGGAGAAGATATTATGGTAAAAGAAAGCAACAAAGTAAGCATTACGCCTTTGAATACTTCTGAAAGAAGTAAAAAGATTATTTTGGAACTTTTGAATAGACTTAAGTTGTAACGTGCCCTTATATGAAAGAAAGCAAAATTACAAACAGGAGTTATAATCCAAATTAAAAAAACAGAAGTGCTGAGTACAGAAACTATCAATAAATAATCAGAATCTGAATATCTCTAAGCAAGAGCCATACGCAATATGAAGTAACTTTTTACAATGTGCAGCTCAAGGTATTTTAGGAGGAAACACTTTCACTAGTAAAACACGGTTCTCACACTATGAATTACTTTAAAAAAAAGTGCAGTCAAATGTAATCACTAAACAGCAACTGAAATGCTGAATTTAAATTTAAACATCTACACTCTCATTTAAACTTGTTATTTATCCACTAGTTTAACCCTGTATTATGTTATCTTGTTACTCCAAGTATGGCAACGTCTGTGTTGCTCGGCATCAACAGCACTGATATAATCCACACTTATGATTTAAAAAATGCCTCCTTGTTCAAAGTTCAGAGTCCTAAGCAGAAATACTCTACCGAACTTAACATACTGGGTAAAATCTATGAAATGAAAATAGATACTACTTTTCACAGATGAAAATCAGTAACTAAACTGTTCTTAATTGTATTTCACTTGCACACAACTCTATTGGATTGACAAATATAAGTGTGTAGGAGAGCAAGGAGGTCTCTGAATCTCCTGATTTCACTTCTGCTAAGGAACACCTATCACATGGTTTTCAGCCAAAATATTCCATCTCGTTAAGATGCTAGTTGCTTATCATAAGATGCACATATACTATAAACTTCTCAAGTTTTTTCTTTTTAATATTGTACAATTTCCTTGTCATCTGGTGTCTCATTATTTCTACACCACATCATTAAGTCACAGAAATTTACTGTTCGTTCAGATGACTCATCTTTCCAATGTGATTCATCAAATTACGCAGCTTCTGTGAAACGTTATGAGATTTCAGTTGATGCCTTGTGAAGCTGTGCACCTCCACTTCATTTTATTATCATTCCCTACTTCTGCCTCCTTCATAGGCTACCTCCAGCTTGGTAGTCAAATTTCAGTACAGAAAAATCCTACAATTTTCAAGAGGTCAAAATCAGTAATTAAGCCTTCAAACCAAGGACTTAAACTTGTATCTCCATCTTCGTTGTTATTTCAATAGGCATTGTAAATACAACATTCTCTCCAACTTCAAACGGGTTTGCATGATTAACCCACAACTATTTCCCCACAAACTACACTGTACTACCAGAAAACTTATATCAAAGCAAGAGCAGATCAACTATGCAAAACTTCTGGAAGGCAATGCATCAAAAGAACAAGACCAACACCTTACTGCTTAAGTACCATTCCTCCTGGTGCTATGTTACTGAAATAGCTGGAAAAGAAAATTTCACTTAAGATAGAATATCCATACAATGACTGTTTCTTAAGGAGTAAATTGTAAGACATAACATTAAACATTCCTTCATATGACTGCTTTTCTGTGCAACTTTTAAGTTCTCTTAAGTGCAACTGCGTTATAACAATATCATGTTCCATTCTGTCACACAAGAATCCTAAAACACTACAAATCACTTTTGACAATGGAACTGCTTTTGACCATACAGAAAAAAATAACTGAAATAGAAAAAATTCTATATTTCATGTAGGTTTTTGAGAAGTAGCTTAATTCCTAAAGTCGTGTTCAGATGCTGTCCTGAAGTACGTATGCTATATCTACTTGCTATGCTCTCATTACAGTGAGCGTTGAATGCTGATGGTCAGTAGCAAAGAAATTCATCCACAAACTAGATGCTATGTTTATTTCAGAGCTAACAGATAACAAAAATGTCATTAAAAGAGATATTGTTGCATTACTTTCACTAAACAGAAGCAACAAAGACCCAGTAAAGCAAAGACAGCTTCCACTGGCTCATAAACTACAGGTGGCAGGATGACAGAGCTGGAAAGAAAAAGAGAAAAGAATGGGGATGTTTGAACTGAGAGCAGTGTCCCTACTCAATGACTAGAAAATATTAAACACTCTTTGTCATCATCAAAATTCCTACACTTGTAAAATAGACCTATCAGTTAAAACAGATGCTGAATTTTAAACTGCAGCACTTTGAAGTAAAATTATATTCTATTCTCTGAGGTTTCCTTTTTGTAATGATTTCCAAGCAGGCAGTCCCTTGGAACCAGCGAGGTTCTCTGGGGATGCCAGGTTCCACCCGCAGAGTACTACAGAGTGGGATTCAGTTACTTATGATTCGCCCTAACTATTTTAATCTTTCAACGTTATTTTAGTAAACTTACTTTAATTAAAAATTAGCCAGTGTAGTCAAACCTAAGTTCAATGTTTGAACAATTAAAGGACCACATTTGAAAACCAATTAACAGAAACTCCTGAGGGTTACTTCAACGCAAGAATCTAACTAGCTAATAAAAATATGACACCCAAAGCACAAACTCCAAAGCACTTTTTCAAGATTTTTTTTGCCATGACAGGCTGCACATACTTAAGTATGTCCCAAATGCTGGTACACAGGTCTGAGCCAGATGAGTGGCTATAAACACTAATGAGCTTGAAGTAACCAGAGGAATGGCAACAAACAGTTGTCAGCTCGGCACATTTTGATGCTTGCTTTCAATTTATATTAGTTGCCTTAAAATTTGTGGTTTGCTCTTATGCAACTGAACTCAAATTACTTCTGTGGACACACCTGTGTGTGCTGCAACATACTCACTTTAAGTTTACATTTGTATATACTAGGATCTGAACTGCTCCTCGTTTCCAGCTTACATTTCATCTGTCTTTTGAATACACTTGATATGTTATGCTGACCGCAACACAACTGTTATTCAAGCTCTGTGCCTTTGAAACTATACAAAGACCACAGTAATGTTAAATGTCACATTTTGCACCTGTTTCAAGTTCTGTATTTTATTTATATCAATTTCTTTTTAGTTGGTTTTTTTGGTTTTGTTTGTTTTTTTAATTCCAAACTTAATAGCCTACCATTTACCAGAGGAATAGAAGTGAAACTTGTTGAGCCAAAACCTCTCTGCTCTGTCCTGCAAGGGAGCTACAATGGATAATGTGTTCTCTGTATTATTCACTAATCCATCTTGGTTTACAGTTCTTAGTAACTTACATGAAGATTTCCTCAGCTGCCAATGCCTGTAGTGAAAGAAGTGCTGTGTGTTTCGGCAAGAGGCTGCAGAACTACCAGCCAGCGTTTTCTCACCTCTTTTACAGGGGTGATAGCACTAAACTGAGCACTCTGGAGGAGTCCATGAACTCCTTCAGTGGCAAGCTCGTGGCTTTGCAACAATAAAATAAATCTCCATTCTTACACAGGTCTTCACCTCTCATCTTTGTCTCTTGCACCTACCTCTCCTCACGACAGCAGTAGAATTTGATGGCATTGTGACATTCTTATACGTTTAACAGTAACGTTACCAGTAAATCAACCAACAATCCACCTCCTCTCTTAACTTCTCGATTCACTTGTCTGCTGTAATTAAAATTTATTTTTTAGACTAAACTGTAGGCAGTACAGGTTATTTCCTAAAATCAGACAAATGTCTTTACTAAGTTCTGTTACATCATTAACAAAAATGGAGAAAGAGTAATCGCAAAAAAAAAATCCAAACTAAATCAACTCAGATGACCATTACCACAAAGGATGCTTCAGAAGAGACTATCCCTAACTCTTTCAGGTTACAGGTTCATCAGCAAACTTAGCAAGCCTTCTTTCGCACATTTAGAGATTAAACAGTTCACATTATTCAACATCCACAAAGCATCAATCTTCTGTGAATTTACTTGTCACGAAACTAGAGAATGTGTAAGATCCCAACACTTTTCTGATTGCATACACAGGCAAACAGACTGCGTAAGTAGACAAACTGATCAAAATCTTAACGTGTTTTACCACTTTTGGACTCATGAGGAATTCAGCATATTACTTCATACACAAAAGCTCCAACTGCAAAGACCTGCAATAATGTAATCAGTGCTACCAAGTTATTAAGAACAACTAATCATGCCCAATCAGGCAAGTTTGAAGACGATGAGTATTTATGAGGTTTTGTTATGTAGTTAATTTTTAAAAAGTTCTGAAGTC